GCTGGTTTAGGTCTGATCCCATAATCTGGGACCACTGGCTCCTAAATGCTCACCTGCCTGCCTGCTGATTGCCCCTTGCGTCCCTCCCCTGCTGTCCTGGTCACCCCTACCTGCCCTCCCCTGCCAGCCGGTCACCGCTAACTGCCCTCCCCTGCTGGCCTAGTTACCCCTAACTGCCCTCCCCTGCTAGCCATCTTGTGGCTGTGGGCACCACCATCTTTGAGGGTAGGGCAGTCAATTAGCATATGCCCTCCTTATTGGCTGTGGGCACTGCCATCTTTGTGATGGCATGAGGGTCAATTAGCATATTCCCTCTTTATTAAATAGGATACCAATTGCTTTAAAAGCTTGCTTTAAATCTTTACATTATAAACTTCCATTTAAGAAATAGCAATCTGGCCCTGGCTGGTTTGCTCAATGGATAGAGTGTTGGCCTGCAGACCAAAGGGTCCTGGGTTCTATTCTGGTACAAGGGCATGTACCTGGGTTGCAAGCTCCTCCCTGGCCTGGCCCTGATCAGGGCTCGTGCAGGAGGCAACCAGTCAATGTGTTTTTCTCACATCAATGTTTCTCTCTGTCTTTCCCCCTCTCTTCCACTCTCCCTAAGAATCAATGGAAAAATATCCTTGGGTGACGTTTAACAACAACAACGGAAAAGAAATAACATTTAAAATCTTTTCTTTTCTTGAAATATTAATGTTTATTGCATGTAACGTTATATTTAAAATCATTTTTCTCGAATTAAAAAAAGAAAGAAAAAGATAGCAATCTGAAGACAAATATGATATTAAAATACAAAGACACAAACACACATGCACATGATTGTGGTTGTATGTCGCTTTTAAAACAGAATTTCTGTGACTAATAGAACTCAGTGCTATGCCATGACTTTGTAATTTTATGAGGTTCATTAATGTATTAGAAACAGTGATGTCCACTACATAAATTTTATCACTTGCCATTTTATTTTAACAAGGCAGATGAAGATATGATAGTTTAAAATTACCCTGATAGGCCTTAATAGAATTTCAAATTTGATAAAAACCATGTAAGGCACACTTTCCCAGCCATTTGCATTATGGAGCCCAAATCCTGGCAGGGACATATCCCAGCCAACTGCCACCTTTCCTCAGCCAGCGACATGGAACTGCATGGAGGGCATCCTCAAAAGAATAAGGACTTTTAAAATATTTTCCACCCCAACTTTTTTTTTAAAATATATTTTATTGATTTTTTACAGAGAGGAGGGGAGAGGGATAGAGAGTTAGAAACATCAATGAGAGAGAAACATCAATTCAGCTGCCTCCTGCACACTCCCTACTGGGGATGTGCCCGCAACCAAGGTACATGCCCTTGTCCAGAATAGAACCTGGGACCCTTTAGCCTGCAGGCCGACGCTCTATCCATTGAGCCAAACCGGTTAGGGCTCCACCCCAACTTTTTAAATGTAGAATCTGCTTTATATCCTGAAAGGTAGAACTGCATTGGAAGAGGCAAAACATCCAGCAGCTCTTTGAAATCAAAGCCTCGCTTTCACATCTTAAATATACTCTTTGGTTCCAAGTCACGTAGTGGGGAACACTTCACGCACTTGCCACACCAGTGAGTTACAACTGGGCATTTACTGCCGGGCTGGCCGAGCCACGCAGCTCCTGGGGGAGACGGAGAAGGCGAATGAGCTGTTAATGTCCATTACTTCACCCACGGACTCTGACAGGTCACTTTAAAAACCGAACTTAGCAACAAGGTATTAGTCCTCTTCATGACCATTTTCTGAGAACAATATGTGCCATGAAACAAGAGAGATTTGTGCAAACATTCCAGAAAAACAAATAAGGAAGCTTAAGTGGGCCACACTTTACAATGAGAAACTTCTACAATAGAAAAATGGGGTGCAAATTCAGTTTGTGCTTTTTCATTATTTTCTTTTTCTGTGTAAAATATTACATAATTTATCAAATTTTGGCAAATCACATGATCCTTTGTCTGTATAATATTACATACTTTTATATTTTATATAATATTCACATACAATAATTTAGAATTCTTTAAAAATAACTCATTCAGCAAACATTTATTTTGCTTCAGAAGTCGTATTTTTTCACTTGGCCAAGTGCCCTAATCTTTGGGTTGAAAATAATTGTCTCATACATGGATTATAATCACATTTCTGTGGGAAAATATTTTAAATGACTGTGATCATTTTTAATTTTATTTAAAAATTGTATCTTTAAAAATACAACAAAATTACAAAAGAATTAATAGGTGTTTAAAACAACAAATCAACTGATTATGTATCATGGAATACAAGCTTTGTTCAATGTTATTATCCTCTTGGTGCAATTTAAATACAACAGATACTTTAACGAAAGGACTGCTGAATAATGAAAATAAGGAACAGAGTATAAACACCACTATAGGACGATACGTTGCCTGGGCAATGATTGTGTCTGAATATAATTATGGTGGTTCCTTTTATTTTCCTTTCAAGATAGAGATTTTTTTGAATGAAAAATAAAGGTTTAAAAGTTAAAGAATAAGTTAGAAACTTTCCCATATCCAACTGCCTGGGGAAGAAGGGTTATTATTTTGTAATAATTTGAATCATTCTGTATAGGTCAGCCTATATAGTTTATACAAAGATGGAAAGAACTAGATTCTGCTCTATTATTCATGGAAGTTTGACTAATTTGGAACAATTCTTATTAATAATGTATGGACCATTTCATGTTTATAGGAAATAAAGTAACCACTACTAAAGAAAGGCACTTACATGTATGCAGAATAGAAATAATTTGATAACATTAATTAAATGGTATCAGCAGTAGCTATTTGTATTTTTATTGAAAAAAATCATACAAAACATTTTACATCTTTTCAGAGCATTTTGCTTTTATTTTTATATATATTGTTACATTCTACAAAGGGACTGCATGTTATAATGTCATTAATAGGCAGGCAAACGCTTAAATAGTAAGTAGTGAATATAAATTTTAATTTGTATATGAAATAACATGTTTCACACATCAGCATCTTCCTATTTTCACAGCTTATCTGGGTGTCCTTTAAATGCACAAGCAATCAAAAAGGGCAAGGTCTCAGAAGAACTAATGACTATCAAGCTCAAAGCAACTGGAGGTAAGAGTTCATGGCCAGGGTCACCATCTCCATGGAGGCCCAGGTAGTAGTTCCTCACAGGGTTCTGCATGCCAAATTATATTTTATTTGGGAATTGTAATGTTAATATACACTACGGAAGCTTTTCTCACATTTGAACTAAAAGTATAATGTTTATCTCAAACATTATCATTATACTTGGTTTTTCCCTTACTTTAAAAAAATATGTTTTTATTGATTTTAGAGAGAGAGGAAGGGAGAAGGATAGAGATAGAAAACTCGATGAGAAAGAAACATCAATCAGCTGCCTCCTGCACATCCCCTACTGAGGATCGAGTCTGTAACCTGGGCATGTGCCCTGACCCAGAATTGAACCGGTGACCTCTTGGTTCATGGGTCAACACTCAACCACTGAGCTACACCAATCGAAAATGCCATTCCTTGAAAAGGAAGTTGACTCCAAGGAGACATAAAAGAAAAAAAAACACAATATATAAAAAAGAAACATAGCAATAGAAGTTTTCATTTGCTCAAAATACTTGTCTAATTGAAAATTTATGCTCCATAAAGTTGTTGAAAACAAATATTTTAATCCCTGTTGCCTGGGAAGAGATTCCTCTACCAGCAGATTAGCCAATAAGATATGGTGCTGACAATGCAATACAATTCTCCAGATGCAGCAGGCCAGTGCGGAATGAGCCCTGTGTCCCAGACAGTGCCGTTAGCGAGGTCATGGGTAATTGTTTAATCTTTTCTTAATGACTGTGTCATCCTGTTACTCATATTCAAGTTCATTTAGATACGAAAATACTGAGGTCTTAGTTGGTGAGTTTGCTTTTCTTCTTTATCTCAGAGCCCAGGATTAGGAATCTTATGACACACTCTCTGCATTGGTTCATGCATGGCCGATTTTGTTTAGGTAGTTAGTTACTTATAATAAAGCAATAGGTACCTAGAAAACAGCCACCTGATTTAGCATGCTGTATGTAAGTGTTCCAGGCTTATTTTTTTTTCTCTCGTAACATTATATTAGTAAGAGTCATCCATATTGTTTTTGGCGGGCATGTGGCTTGTTTCCAGGTCGTACCTTTGTAAACAATATGCTACATACACCTTGTGCCCGCCTCCTATCAGACATATGCAACTGTTTGTCTCTGGTGTGTACCTACGGCTGAAATTGCTGGTGCACAGAGTATGTAAAGTTCACCTAAAGCAGATAATGAACTGTGTTCCACAGCAGTAACCGCAGGAAAGTGCAAGAGCCTGGATCTCTTTCAAACAAATTGTCAAGTCCCCAACCTGCTCTCATGAAATTGATCTTATTACATCTGAAGTGAAAGTTTACATTTATCTCTCATAATTGCCATCTGTTTGGTTTAGATTCATCACTATGGACTGTTGAGATTACCTTAAATCCTGCTTCGGGCATCCTTACTATTAACTACCCATCCCACCTTTTAAAAACCTTTCCAATCCATTCATATTCCTTCTATAAAACAGTGATGGGAAAGTGATGCCTGTTCATTGACAGTTTACTCTGTGTTTAGCACTTTATATATTTTTTTGCATTAATTCTCACAACATAGATTTTATGCCTCTTTTACCGACAAGGAAGTGGAAGCCCAAAGGAGTAAGTTTCCCAAGTTCAAGAACAAGAGTCACGGGCAAAGCGCATGTTTCTTCTAGATTGCATTTGCTTGCCCTCACCCAGGCCCACGTAGAGAACCCAAATTACATGTCCCTGGACTCGCACCCACCTGCCAGCACCCAGCTCTACCCGTGTAATGGTGCATTAATTAATCAGCATAACTTGGGGTCTTAATAGCCTTTACAGGGTTGTGTATGAGAGGACCCATGACCTTTGGAATTCAGTCCCACCTCTGCCTCTGACTTTGGACTTGGGCAGGTTCTATCTCCTGTCGGTGATGAGCATGGCCTCACTTAACTTAAGGCTCAACATTTGCATGTATGAGAAAGGTATAATGGAACACAACTCCTAGTGCGCAGTGAAGTTGAGATGAGAAAACATTTACGAACACCAACATGTCTTGCAGCACACCTGCAGCGTAATGGGCAAATTAAGTGGTGGTACTTTTATATGCCCTTCTTTTTCTTACAAAGGATTTAAATCCTTCAACTCCTTCTACCTATTATTTTAGAATCTTGAACATGGATTTGGATACAAATTCAACACTTCAAACCTCTCCACAAACCACAAACTAAATGTAAAGTGACTGAGATTTATCACAGTCTCGTAATTTCAGTGTGAACTAAGAGAGTCTGATTCTTTGTAGGTATAGAGAGTGATGAAGAAATTAGGCATTTGGATGAAGAAATAAAGGAATTGAATGAATCCAACCTTAAAATTGAAGCAGATATGATGAAACTTCAGACGCAGGTAAAGAACCAGAAAGGTATCTTCATGGTAATCATACTCTTTGGTGGAGGCAAAACATTGAACTGCTAAACCTTGTGATGAAAAAACAAACAAACCCACATACTGATATCTTATAATGAATATACTAAGCATGTCTAGATTACATAATTATTGTAAATATGTGAGTAGGTGGGTCACGTGGGCCATCATTGATTTGGTAGCTGAAGGCAAAGGTATTCATGTTTCTGCTTTGGGTGCATCAAACGCTTTATAAGCAGGTCATCCTGTAATTGTAGAGTCCTTTAGAGCACATGGTGCTTTAGAGAAATTGTATATGAGAAGATATGAGTACTTAGTTTTATTCAAAAATTCAAGTAAAACAGGGCAACTTTTCACATTTAATTTTTCTATGACACTTCTGAATGTGTCCATTTTTGTTAAAAACAGATCTTTCTGGAGATTTTCCTGCATAGCTTCTTTACCAAAAATTGCAGAACTTGAGATGAAAAAACAAACAAACCCACATACTGATATCTTATAATGAATATACTAAGCATGTCTAGATTACATAATTATTGTAAATATGTGAGTAGGTGGGTCACCTGGGCCATCATTGATTTGGTAGCTGAAGGCAAAGGTATTCAATGTTTCTGCTTCGGGTGCATCAAAGGCTTTATAAGGAGGTCATCCTGTAATTGTAGAGTCCTTTAGAGCACATGGTGCTTTAGAGAAATTGTAGATGAGAAGATATGAGTACTTAGGTTGGTTTAAAAATTCAAGTAAAACAGGGCAACGTTTCACATTCAATTTTTCTACAACACCTCTTAATGTGTCCATCTCCCTTCCTCTCTGAAAGCAATAAAAAAATAATAAAGGAATCATTGGTATGAGAGAAGCGGGTAGGGAGAGGCAGCCAGATTTCAATATAAAACAGGAAAGCCAGCTAGGCCTCAAGAGGAAGGAATCATTTTGCAAAGACTTCAGCAATTGAGGGAGTTTGCCAAACAAGTACGGGGGGAAAGTGTTTCAAAGAGTGAAAGCACCGTATAAAAACACTACCTCTAGAGAAAGCACAGAGTTTTGAGAACTAGCAGGTGAGTGATGTGGGAGATCAAAGGAGATGTGTCCCGGGGTAACACATGAGTGTCCGAGGCCATTCTGAGGACTTGGTTTTTATTCTCAATGAACACAGGACATTTTGGGGTTTTGAGCCAAAAGTTAATGTGATCATATTTGACCTACATGCGATCTGCATTTTAAGAAACTTGTATTGGTGGCTGTGTTGAAGATGGACCAAAAGAATAGATTGCAGGGGGCAAAGCCACACTCAGGGCCACATGAGAAGGCAGTCAGTCACTCTGGTGCCTGGGCCCAGGGGACAGCAGTGAAGATGGGGGACTGGATATTTTGAAGGAGGAGCCCAGTGGATTTAAAGTGTGAGAGAAAGAGAGCCATCAGGGATAATGTGAAAGCCTGAGCAACATTCTAGTTGCTACTAACTGGGAAGGAGGAGATTATAGTATACTAGCAGCCCTGCACACGAATCCATGTGCCAGTAGCTCTCTGTGGGGACTGGCCACTTCACACCCGCTGCCCAGAGGCTCTACATGGCCCAGAGGCCCATCTGCAGCCGGGCACGGAATGCTTGTCTTGTTGCCAGGGCAACAACGCAAGAGTGTCAACGCTCTCCCCCTGAAACTCCCCTCCTCCCCCCCGCCGCTCCGTCCCCACTGCCCAGAAGCCCTCCGTGGCCCGGTGGAACGCTTGCCTCATCGCCACAGTGACGAAGCATCTTGTGGCTATGGGCTCTGCCATCTTTGTGATGGAGTGATGGTTAATTTGCACATTACCCTTTTATTAGATAGGATGGAGCAGGCTTGGGGAAACACAGAGCTTGAGATACCCATCATATAGCCATGTGGAGATGTGGGGGAAGTCTGGGCTGAAGATATACATTTGGGAATGCAATTTCAAACTTTAGGTAAGTCCAAGGCCAGGACGTGGCCGCCCCATTCCAAGGGTTTGCAGGGTCAGTGTCAGTCACCAACAGAAGCACCGAGCTTTGAGGAGACCTGCCAGCAGTCACCGAGGTATCATGCTTCATTATGCATGACTTGCAATGACCTCCTTCATTCGGAGATTCATACACTTAAATTACATGAAGGCCACGGGTTTTGGATAGTGTAGAAGTCACTTCAAGATGAAGGTTTATTTGAAAATTGTTTTATAATGTAATATGAAAGTCGGAGGCCAAAACTCTCTGGCTAAAATTGTTTCTCCAAATACAAATCTTACAAAATCTGAGACACAGCCATATGTGTCATCCACCCAACTTAGGAATCGCAGAAAAGAATTTAACCTGATGCTTTCTTTGTACTAAGTATGAAGGCCATACTTAAGTCATCTTTCTATAGAACTGGTTCTCAACCTTCTGGCCCTTTAATACAGTTCCTCATGTTGTGGCCCAACCATAAAATTATTTTCATTGCTTCTTCATAACTGTCATGTTGCTACTGTTATGAATTGTAATGTAAATATCTGATATGCAGGGTGGTCTTAGGCGACCCCTGTGAAAGGGTCGTTCGACTGCCAAAGGGGTTGTGACCCACAGGTTGAGAACCGCTGCTATAGAACAAAAAGCACAAAAGTGATATTTCCCAAATCTAAACACATATTTGAAGCATGGAAACTATTTAAAATTTATAGAAAATTAGTTTCCTTTACATTTTCATAAATATAATAAACATTTGAAGGGGGGGCTGCATTGTTGAATGGTTTTAATTTCCTCACTGTGTCCATTTTTAGAACAAGTTTTTTAATGCTACAAATTTTATATATAGAATGTTTTAAAAAACAGCAATTTAATAAAGAAATCTGATTGATTTTTCTGAAAACAATTAAGTCCCTCAATTTATCCAACTTTCCAGCATGGAGCCCTCATCTTAACCAATTCCAAATCTGTCTCTTGACAATTAAAAAACAAATCAATAATGTAATACTATAAAACACAAAGAAAAATAAATGATTACTTTGTAGTCAGTATTGAGGTAATTATTGAACGTTTTTCAATATTATTTATTAATGTTTAAGTCATACTTCAAACATATCCCTTAATATTTTTTCCTTACCTGTGCCAATAAAATAATCATCACCATACAAGATAACTTGTACTTTGTATGGTAACCATATAAGGTACTCTACTGGTGAGTTTTAGGGTTAATCACACTAAATTGTCACAAAAGCACTAAAGACGTTCTCATTCTGTAGTTGAGGAAGTAGAGACTCGGAAAATTTACACGATTTGATCAAGGTCCCAATGCTAGCATGAGTCGGGCCGGCCCGGCTTTAGTGCAGGCTTTGTTCACTCTGTCACCTGGGTCCTTGTTCAGTTCTGTGACTCCAAGAAGCATGTGACACCACAAATGCAGAAGCTAAAAGGGAACAGAAAACCACGGTTAAGACAACACTAATAATTTAGATCAGTACTTTGCTGAGCAAAACCAAAATAATCTTCAAGTATAGGAAGCTCACCTTCTAAATAGCAACAATATTCTTTATACCTAAAGCATTTAGGCCTTGTAAAAGTCTTCTCTTCTAACCATCTTGTGAAGTAAGCAGGGCATATATATTTTTAAAAAGATGGGGGAGGGGGGGCACCAAAGAATGGTTGGGTAGGAGTGCTCTCTGTCATTTATTTCCTTGCACACAGCGTGCAACTTCTACACGTCAAGTGTCTGTTCTCTCTGAAGCACCGCATTAGGCCACGGAGATACCGAAAACACAAACATGAGATGAGCAGTCCCTGACTTTGTGGACCTCACATTCTACCTGGAAAGACGGGGAGAGAAATAAAGCACATTACAATGAGGCTGCACGATGGGGGCCGGGGCGGGGGGATGCACAAAGAGGTGTCTGAGAATGAAAGAGGAACCTTTTCCACCAGACACCTGGCTAGGGACCAGCTTGCGCAAATCTCAGATTCCCTTCATCCAGCCGAGTGCTGTCAAAGGAAACATCTGGATCAAACCAGCCTTTCTCCCAGCCTGGCTGACATTCCCCTTCCACACGCAGGAGGTCTGCTTTGTGCTGAGCCCAAGCAGTGGCAGCTGAGACTGCATCCCAAGGTCGGGCAGCTTTGAGGGCCCACCTCAGCAGCCAGGCAGCTGCCTTACGCAGCTCCACACGGACCTCAAAAACACTGTCCGATCGCACTAATCCCATAAATTGAGGAAAGAATGAGCAGATGAACCCCAATGCGCACCTCCTCTCTCTCCATCTCCCCAAACCCCAGCAGCCCCAGGCATCCTGACCTTCCTGCCCAGACTCAGAGTCCCCTGATAGGCTGCCGCGCCCTTTGGCCCACCCTTTGCCTCAGCCTGAATCCCTGTGATTGGTTCCATGTGTTTTGTCTCCATTCAGGGGCCTATCAGTGAGCAGAATTTCGAAGCATATGTAAATACGCTCACAGACATGTACAGCAACCTGGAGCGGGACTATTCCCCAGAATGCAAAGCGCTGCTAGAAAGTATCAAACAGGCCGTGAAGGGCATCCACGTGTAGGAGCGCCTGCGGTGGGCACCAGAAATCACCAACAGCAGTCACGCCAGTGGACCGGGCGCCTGCGCTGCCGAGGCAAGCAGGCTGCCGCACTGCATTTACCATTGCAACATTGCACTAATTTCCTCCCCAGCTGACATAAAAAGGAAAGGAATAATAAGAAAAAAAAACTATAATAGACTCTATGGATTAAAAGCGATGCTGTCAAATATTAGATGGTATTTATTTTCATATGTTTTTCTTTTATTTCCTCATTGCACTCTTTTGAATTTTTTTCTTTGTAAAGTATATGTAAAGTATGTGACATTTTAATATTTTATTCATTTCTAATCAAAGAGTTTTTTATCTTTTACCTGCATTTTGAAGTCTGCCATATTTTTTACAAGTGTGTTTCTTTTCCAATAGAATTTAAATAGAAATGCTAGTCTCAAATCACATATCTTGCTGGGCTTAAATGAGAAAACAAACAAACAAAAACAAACAAACAAAGAAGTCTGAAGGAAATCTTTGTCTAAGGACTGCACTATGCTCCCCTTTGATTTTTATTGCACTCTTTCTCCCCCTTTCACTGGCTTTCGCATTGATAAGTGGGCTTGTCCTAAGGTGAGACGCATGGAAGGAAGAAGATAAATGGCGCCCACCTAGTGGGCAAAGCGCTCTCACAGAAGCACAGGAACTGAAAAGCCTGTTCAGAATTGGATAGCAATAATTAAATATAGAAATCAGCAAATTACTCGACTTGGCTGTATGGTTTCGGTAAACATGAATTATTTATTTGAAATGTTTTAAAGAAACGTAAGCTTTTTTTAGCGGTGCAGATTTGTCTGTTTGTTTTTCAAGTCATATCAGATAGTTGGCAACTCTTATCCCAAGACGAGAAATAAGACTTGATGTGACCAGCCAGGCTTCCCTGCCATATGCTGGTACAATATACAAGTGACAATATTGATGTAGATTTGTACTCAGCAAATACAAACACATCCAAATGGAAAATTTTGTAGATACCATATCCCCTGAAATAGCATTTATCTTGCTTGGTTGACTGAAAGGAATGGAAAACTATAGTAACACATGGAAAACTGTTACTCCGATCTGAGTCATTACTTTAGGCAACGATAAAACTTTCAATTTGATCGATATCTTTCTGTAGAACTACAAGTGCTACAGAGTAAACACACTCAACACACAGGCACACACCCACATATTCACACTCACATACACTCAGACACACATAAAATTGAGCCCGAAATCTTGAATTTCTGCATAGATCAGAGTTTAGTAGTTGCTATAGTAAAGGCAATGTCTATTTCAGGGATTGTAAAGTAGTTAAGCATTGTTTCAAAAGTTTTTTTATATTTATTTTTTTTAAGAAAAGGTATAGACAACCAGCTAAACTGCCTTTTTGGTGTGCACACACACCCCGTGTGCAATGTGCCTCCGTGTAAATGGACACTTGAACTTAGTGTGGGCTTAATTTTCTGTTCTATAACAAAAGTGTTTATTTTCTATTAGCCTCATGGATATGTAGATTGAATGTGATGGCACTCACAGGCTTGATATATTCCACTGTTATTACTGTTACCTGCACAAATGAAGAGTAATATCAACAGTAATTCCACTTCCATGCCACTGTGGTCATTGTTATGTATTAAATGGGGCTTATCTTTGGTTTGGGGTTCATTCGAACTCTTGACTTTAGTTTAGTGAAAATGAGATGTCTGTTCTTAGGTAGGAATGGTGTTTATTTAAAAATCAATTTATAAAGAAAAAGAGCTACCATATGTGCTGTCTATTATAAATGGGACACCAAACAAAATTTTCTATTAAAGTTATGTACTTGCAAACAGTTTGCTCTAGAGCACTTGATAGATGCATACAAATGAGTTCACTTATTACAAAGACAAACCTTAATTTGCTAAATATTTTAACAACTTTGTTATATATTTTATTTAATTTAAAAGAAATTTCTTACCAGCCTATGTATTTATTACTATAATTTACTATGACTCCGGGTTAATAATTTATTTGTGTTTGCATAGTTTGAGCAGTATGTTTTATGAAGTATATTTGTATTTATTTGCCTCCTTTGTACTTGACGTGTTTTGTAATTTGCACTGAATTATTTTCCTTTCAACTATGTTGGTCGATACTGTAAATTGGGTCTTTTGTAAACAACAAAAGGACAATGATGTATGCATTTTTTTTAATTTCAAGTAGTTTGTATACTGTTTCTTCAAACAATTAATATTTCTTACATCAAAGCAACAAAATTGTGTTCAGTGCTGTACATTTGGTGTATGGTAGGAAATAAAAATTGATAATGAGTTTTGCTGTGATCTCTCTCAAGCTGCCATGTAGAGCAAGCATGTCAAACTCAAAGGCTAACACGGGCCAAGTAAACGAGGCATGTGGCCCGCAGGCCACGAGCTTGATATGCTTGACATAGAGACTATTATCACCATCACATGGAAAGCATGGAGCTCGGCTGTGGTAAAGGACCCCTGAGTCCTCCCGTGGTTCTGATGTATTTTGGTTCTGTCAACCCATCTGCTTGGTTTGTTTTTGCACCACAGGCAGGAAGGATTTTTGCCCATTGACAAGTCGTCACAGCCTTTGGTTCAGCACACACTACGGAAAAGTGGGCGCCTTTGATGTAAGAAACACCTTTGCTAGCACTAGCAGGAAATGCACCTGGATCTAGTGAGCAAAAGAGTATAGGCCTCACCCTCCTGATCCAAAACTGCTGTGGGCATATCTGCATATTCATACAAGTTTGTTGAACTCAAGTTAAAGAAAACTAGTTGTCAATTCTTTTTTTAAAGTATTTTTTGTTTGTTTGTTTTTTTATTGATTTTGGAGGCAGGAAGGGAGAGGGAGAGAGAGGGAAAGATAGCAACATTAATGATGAGAGGGAATCATTGATCGGCTGCCTCCTGCACATTCCCTGTTGGGGATTGAGCCTGCAACCCCGGCGTGTGACTGGCTGGGAATCCAACTGTGACCTCCTGGTTCATAGGTTGATGCTCAAACACTGAGCAACAGTGGCTGGGCTAATTATTAATTCTTGACAGCAACTCCTTTAATTATATGTTTTTCTCATCTAATATCAGCTTAATTTAATTTTCCAGTTTCTGAAATAAGTCAGGCAGAAAGGTCAAGAACCGTATAATTTCACTCGCATATGGGATATAAAGCAAAAAGCAAAACATGGATACAGATGAAAGAATGGTGGTTACTGCCATAACCAGTTTGGCTCAGTGGATAGAACATCAGCCTGTGGACTGAAGGGTCCCAGGTTCGATTCCGGTCAAGGGCATGTATCTTGGTTGCGGGCACATCCCCAGTAGGGAGTGTGCAGGAGGCAGCTGATCCATGTTTCTCTCTCATTGATGTTTCTCTCTATCCCTCTTCCTTCCTCTCCGTAAAAAATCAATAAAATACATTTCTTAAAAAAGAAAAAGAATGGTGGTTACCAGAGGGCAAGTGGGTTTGGGGGTGGATGGAGAGGGTAAAGGGAAGTCAAATTCATGGTGACAGAAGGAGACTAGACTTCAGGGGGTGAGGACACAATAGAGTGTGCAGATGTCATGAAGTTGTACACGTGAAATTTGTATAATGTTATTAGCTAATGTAACCCCATCACATTTAACTTAAAAAGTCCCATTTTTGCTCATATTTAGACATCTCTAGGATTGGATGCCGTTTATACTCAATGTGGTAAAACCCATGTAATCCATGTATTGAAGCAAAATTGGCTAAAGGGACGCCTGGGTCCCCAGAGGAAAGCAGGGTACTTGGGGAGACCTTTATGGAACGGGTTGGCACATGGCAGTCCATGCACAATAGAGCTGGCTCTTTGTCACCAAATCATAAGGTGCAAATCTGCTCAGCCAGCTTCTTCGCTTACTCTTTGCAAAATATGTGTATCTTGCCCTGCCTGGGATTTTACATCAATGAGTAGTGTCTGTGTTCTTGTCACCCAACCTGTCAGAACAGTACCAGTTCTATTGGAAATAAGACAGTTAGAGTGAGCATCATGCATTCGTACAACAGAAGTTTGATTAGAAGGTATTTATGTCAGGTCCGCTTCCTGACCATGTAAGTTCACCCTAGGGGTGACGATGAAATGAGTGGTAAGATTATGACTGAGGTACACACAGGCTCCTGTGGAAACAGTATAGAGCAGTGATGGCGAACCTATGACACGCGTGTAAGAGGTGACACACGAACTCATTTTTTTGGTTGATTTTTCTTTGTTAAATGGCATTTAAATATATAAAATAAATATCAAAAATATAACTCTTTGTTTTACTATGGTTGCAAATATTAAAAAATTTCTATATGTGACACAGCACCAGAGTTAAGTTAGGGTTTTTCAAAATGCTGACACACCGAGCTCAAAAGGTTTGCCATCACTAGTGTAGAGAGTTATATAAATAACTGATTTCCTGGGGAAAGTGCTGGTTACAGATGAGCTCGGCGTGTTTGAGGAAAGGCATGACCAGGAACGTCATGGGGATGAGACAAATGCAAGCAGCTTAAGGTAATAAAAATACAAAAAAATAATGAGAAGCATAAAGCCCAGGTAAGTGGGAAAACAAGTTATATTCTGAACAGCCATGTTAAAGAGTTTCAATTTCCATAAGCAGACCTTGGAATGCCAAAGAAAGATTTAAAACCAGAATGATGGAATCTGATTTCCATGAAAGATAATGTAACCTAGCACAGTGGTCGGCAAACCGCGGCTCGCGAGCCACATGCGGCTCTTTGGCCCCTTGAGTGTGGCTCTTCCACAAAATACCACGTGTGGGCGCGCACGTACAGTGCGATTGAAACTTTGTGGCCCATGGCAGAAGTCGGTTTTCGGAAAGGAGATAGATGAAACAAGTATACAAGATGAGTGTGGATGGGAGAGTTGGAAGGGGTCGGCCTCAGCGAATGTACCTCAATCAGATTGAGGACGTTGTTAGCAAAGGCCAGCTTAGGAGTACCCTAATTAAGTTAATAACAATGTACCTACCTATATAGTTTAAGTTTTAAAAATTTGGCTCTCAAAAGAAATTTCAATCGTTGTACTGTTGATATTTGGCTCTGTTGACTAATGAGTTTGCCGACCACTTAGCAGTTCAAACAATGAATATTTCTTTCTTACACTAAAGCAACACAAGTGTATTCAGTGATGTACCTTTGCTATATGGTAGGAAATAAAAGTTGATGATGAGTTTTGCTGTGATCATTTTCAGGCTACTGCATAGAAACTATTGTCACCCACCCATGCAAAGTGTTGGAGCCTTTAGGCACAAAACTAAAATACTTTTACTTGAGCCAGTTGTCTGGTTGAAAAGAAGGGGTGAATGATTTTTGATTTGTCTCATTAGAAAAAGTTTTAAAATGAATTTGTTCTGGTACCTCAATATTTTATCAATATGCATAAAGCTAATGTTCTCTGTGTCTGTACACATGATGTCCATTTTATTGTGGCCTGGGAATAGGACCCTGCTATTTCCTCACATTATTCAGCAGGTAATTCTATAGTAAGCAGATTTAACTGGCTAATAACTGTCTATACTGTTAGACACAATCAATGATGTCTTGAGTACTTTATCTCATGAAATCCTCGAACAAATTTAGGGAGCAAATGCCACCATGCCCAATTACACCAAGGAGGAAACTGGTGCTCAGAAAAGTCAGTAACTGGTCCAAGACTATCACACTCAGATGCAGAGAACAAACTAACGGTTGCCAAAAAGGAGGGGAGATGGGGGCTGGGTGAAAACAGATAAAGGGATTGAAAAGTACAAACTGGTAGTTACGGAGCAGTCATGGGGATGTGAAGTACAGTAGAGGGAATATAGTCAATAATATTGTAATAACTACGTGTGGTGCCAGGTGGGTACTTGAAATATCGAGGGGACCACTTTGTACATATACGATTGTCTAATCACCGTGCATACACCCGAAACCAGTACAAAATAATATTGAATATAATTGAAATTTTAAAAAGAACTAGGAAAAGGTATAGCCTATAGTTGACATCTTTTCACTATTTTTAAGGTATAATCCATGGAGATCTTCAGAAAGAAAGAAAACCTGGAAGGAAGAAAGCAGGAATTAATTAAGATTCAGATATAGACGAGGGCCCAGACATATCCAATATTCTTAAATCCTAACACAATAATACTGCCTGGATGCCACTACTGAGTGCCTCATCATGCCCCTTGAGCCCCCGAATTCGCTCTCATAAGCTTGACTGACACACCAAAATGTATTATGATCAGCCTTATACTGACAGGAACCTGAGGCTTAGAGGGAATTAAGAATTTGCTTGAGCCTCGGAATTAAGTACCAGGGTCAGGATTCAACCTAGTTCTGACCCGGAGTGGAGCTCCTGTCCCTGCTGCAAGCCATCGGTACTGCCTCTGGCCAACCCCTAACCTGCTAACCATCCTCCTAACCTGCCTCAAGCCATAGTCACTGGGCAAAAGGCAGGCAGTTTAATCCCACTCCAGACAAAGCTGTTTAAAGAAGCATAATTTTCACGTTTAAACCGCACTCATGATATGTTTCTCTTGTAAAAGCATATCATAAAAAATGTGACACCTTAACAATTTATTTGACAAATTGGGATTGAAAATCTTAATATGGTTGTAATAGCCAAAATGTCAGAAAAATATAAACAACACATTTTTTGTTGTTGTTGCTTCTAGAGCAAAACAACACAATTATTGTGTTCTGTCATGAGCTGCGGTTTTGGATTGGACTCCAATCAATAAAAGGACACGTTGTACTGACCCTTATCAGCCATTAAATACTTAAAAACATAAGAGAACATAAAGTTCCCTGCTCTTAAGAGACAGCTGCTGTTTTAGACTTTTCCACTTAAATATGTATTCTTACCTGTAAATGTAGCCATTTTCCTTCTGTGATGATTACCTCATGTAGTCTGAAATGAAACCTGGATTAGATGGGTGGGCCCGATATTTTGAACTAAGAATGTCTCTTTGGGGATATGACACCCCTGATAATGTTTAAAAGGATCAAACTTTTAACCACTGGAAATGTTTGTAAATACTTATCCCCAAGGCTAGTGTACTTGAGAGAACTCTCCAGCATTGTGCCTCCTCAAAACCCTGAGGACCACCTGGCTGGTGTGGCTCAGTGGCTGAGTGTTGACTATGAACCTGGAGGTCTTGGTTCGATTTCTGGTCAGGGCACATGCCCGGGTTGTGGGCTCAATCCCAAGTAGGGGCCATGCAGGAGGCAGTCGACCAATAATTCTCTCTCATCGTTGATGTTTCTATCTCATCCTCTCTGAAATAAATAAT